ACATGAGATATGAGTAATGACTGGACTACATATGTCAGGGGGACCAAACACCCAGTGTTCTTGGACCCTCAGTTCCCTTATATATCTTTCCCCTGAGGTTAAAAAGAAAAGGTGAGAGACAATGGTTCAAGGGGAGCCTGTGACCTCTGGTCAGGCTGCCATTTTGTCCTGCCCCTTCCCTCTCCCTTCCAAAACCTGCCAGCCCTAACTACCACTGTACTAATCAACATTTTCTGGGTTTATCTCAGTTCTACTTGCCCCACCCTCTTACAGGAAGTAGGAAAACAGAGATTTGCAGAAGTCGGTAGAAACTAATGTCAGAAGGCAGAGTTCCACTGCAGAATCCAAGAAAAACTTCCTGTTTTGTTAAGACCCTTCTTAGGAGCGGAAACTTGCTCACTCAAATGAAAACCACAATGAATAATTTCACTAATTTATACCATATGTTTAGTGAGTCTGAACTCCCAAGAGGATTCCGGTGAATAAAAAGAGAAACCATCAGAAGGGAACTGTCTGCTATCAAGATTGGGGTTCTTCCTCACTCCTTCTTCACCACTCCCTGCAGTACTGGCTTGGAGTGCAGTGAAGTAACAGTGAGGCACTTGGCCCGAAGGCAGCCAGGCAGAGCCTCCGTGGGTCATTCAAGGACTACATAGCTCAGATTCTTCATCCTTCCTCCAGATGGAGTTTCCTTTTTTATAAAAAGGCCTAGAAAAAGCAGTGTATTCGCCTAAACAATGTTGGCAGTGACAAATTAACCCCAGAATCTGAACTTGACACCAGAGTTTATTCTCACTTTCATGATGATTGTGGGGGAGGAGGAGACAGAGAATCCTGCAAGAATCCTAGTTGCAGATAGGGGATGGCTCAAAGGGTTGGAACCTATGCTTTGCATACAGGAGCCCCAGGTCAATCCCCAGCACTGCATGGTCCCCTGCACAGCTGGGTGGAAACAGCCCGCCCCTCCACCCCACCCCACCCACACACGCACACACACACACACACACACACAATTGGTTGGCATTTGGAGTTGTATCACCTGACTACCAGCATGCGGCCACACTGTATACAAAGAATGGAGAATCCACTGGGGCTTCTCTATGCTGCGGCTTAGAAGTTCCACTTCTCTTCGTTGCAAACACAACAAACTGATAGAAGGGCTGGGATCGATGCATGTGCGTTTGCCATAGCAGCGCTTTAATCAAACTGCAGACAAGTAACCAAGGTTCAGAACCCGAGATCATGAAAAGGTCACTTGAAGTTTGGCTGGAAAGATAGTACATCAGGTTAAGGCACTTGACTTACACATGGCCGACCTGGGTTCACACCCCAGCACCACATAAAGTTCCACAAGTATACAGGAGTGATCTCCGAGCACAGAGCCAGGCGTAAGCCCCGAACAAAACAAAGAAAAATTTTAATTGGAATTTGTTGAAATTGGTCTCAGCTAACAGTCTGGTGGTGAACCTCAAAACAATGCTTGGGGCTACTCCCAGGAATACTCAACCTGGCTTTGCTGGCTGAGCAGGTTAGTACCTGGTGGTGCTGGGGGCCCACTAGGGCTACATCTAGCAGTGCTCAAGCATCAAACCTGAGGCTATGTGCATGGCAGACATGTGCTTCAGCCCTTTGGGCTATCTCCCTGGCCCTAATCTGGCCTTGATCTAATAGGTTGCCCTCAGGTCAAACCTATTGAAGATGGGTTTTACATTAGGTTTGTACATGTCACACACTCCATACGTCATTAATTTATCTAGTTCTTTTCTCCTGTGTTGGGGATTGAACCCAAATAATCCCTTGCATTCAATCGTCTACCCAGTTAGCTTATCCGCAAGCACTAGCTTCTCAGCATGGGCCACAATACATTGTTTGAGACTGACATATGGTTTGGTGTCCTCAGAAGCATGATTTGGTTAACAGGGATTGTAGCTGAGTGTTGTATTTTGCAGTGCCAAGAACTGAACGCAGCACCGTGCCATGTGAGGTATGCGTTCTGTCACCACGTCACATCCCTGGCCCCAAAGCTGGAGATGCACTCTGAAATTTTATAATGTTGCAAGTGAATGATAAACCAATTAAAGGGAGGGACAATGGTGAAAATATCTAAGCCACTTAAGATCTGTAAAAAGATGGGGCTGGAGTGATAGCACAGCGGGTAGGGCATTTGCCTTGCACGTGACCAACCTGGGTTCGATTCCCAGCATCCCATATAGTCCCCCAAGCAACGCCAGGAGTAATTCCTGAGTGCATGAGCCAGGAGCAACCCCTGTGCATCACCGGGTGTGACCCCAAAAAGCAAAAAAAAAAAATTCTTAAGTTATTGAGTGGGGGGGGGTTGCTGGAGAAGATAGTATATGGGTTAAGGTGTAAGGTGCTTCTCTTGCACAGTCAACCTGAGTTTGATCCCAGCACCGTCAGGCATTACCAGGAGTGGTCCTAAGTGTGGAGCCAGGAGTAAGCCCTGATTACTGCCAGGTGTGCACCTCCCTGAATAAAAAAGGAAAAAAATTAATTATGGAATTTTAAGCTGCCCTTCTTGATCCCACAAAAATGAGAGCATAAAAGTGGAGGATTGTTCTCCACAGAATTGTTGACCAAAATGGTTCAAAATATATTCTGATTCAAGCCTTCTCTTGCAATTGACTCATGTCTGGCTCTTGTGCAATGTTTTAGGCAAGGGAGTATGCTCTGTATTCACCGTCATTCTCAATTACACACACACTGTGTCTGTACACAGACGGTGCCTTCTCTTGAATGAACTGGTACGGCCTTGCCCTTGCCAGGGGGCAAGGGAGTCACTTTCTAAAGCAGCACACCCAGGCCCTTAGTTTCTCTGCCTCCCCTCCTTACTCCTGGCTTTGAGGACATTTTACCAACCACTGAAAAGGCAGGAAGAGAGGGAGGGAAATACAGCTCAGTGTGAGACCAGCTCACTTCACTGGGTGGTTCTTAGTCGTTTTGTTGTACTTGGCCTGCTTCGAAGCTGTTTGGGGACATCTGAGGTTCTCCAACCGCAAAGCTCTTTCCAGACCTGCTTTCCTCTTGGAATGACACATTATCCTCCCTTCAGCTGTACCAATTGTAAATTCCTGCCTAGGGAGCAGCAATTGCTTTGAATTACAGGCTGTTTGAATAAACCAGTATGGGATTAACAGAGCCTTATTGTTCTGCGATAGTTTACTGAAACCTGCTATAGTAATTTCTGTTGACATTATATTTTCCTGCCTAGCACTTGACTATGCAAAGGAATCCTCCTTCCCCCAAATTCCCCCACCCCTCATTTAATTGGTCCTTTTTAGTTGTATGTAATGAAAACTTCTTGGTGCCATTTTACCAAGAGAAAGAATACTATCGGGTTTTTTCCCCCTCTCCTCTTTTGGCATCTCTTCCCATAATTCCACATCATGAAAAGTGTTTTAGATTTGTGAGGAGAGATTTATTACTTCAAGACAGTCACAGACTTGTGCAAGCACAAATACAATGCACACAAAATTTAGAGTTCTCTCCTTTATGTTTGCATGTAAGTTTGCTTTTCCTTTTTTGAATTTGATTATAGTTAAGGTCATATTGACATAAGTGTTAACATTTCTGACTCTGATGTACAACTACTGCACCTCACCACCACCAGAGTGCCTGCAACCCTCCAGCACCATCCTTGTGTTACTTTCAATCTCATTTCTATACCTCACAGCCAAAGGTTTGTTATTTGATGTTTATTCCTCCCTTTGTTTCTCTACATATCAGAGATGAGTGAATCGGGTATTTGTCCTCGCTCTGATGTATTTAACTTAACGTGAGACCTTCCAGCTCCATGAAGTTGTAGAGGGGGCTAGAAGGATAGCACAGTAGTTAAGGCATTTGCATGCAGCTAACCCAGGTTTGATCCCCAGCATCCCATATGGTCCACGAGGCACTGCCAGGAGTAATTCCTAAGTAAAGAGCCAGGAGAAAATCCTGAACATCGCCGGGTGTGCCCCCACCCCTGCAAAATAAATAAATCCAAATTGCAGAGAGCTACAAGATTTCTCTTTTCTTATGGCTGTATAGTATTCTGTTCTTTATATATACCATAAGGTCTTTTTCCATTTATTGGTCATTGAACATTTGGGTTGTTTCCATATCCTGGCTACTGTTACTAAATGCTGCGATGAATTATGTATACATGTCAGGAATATATAATCAAATCAAAAAAGTCCCTCATTTGTGACACTTTTCATCAATTTGTAAGAATCTTTTAAAATAGGGCTTTCAGACAACTAAATGAAACAGTTTACATTTATCCTATTCAGTTTTTTTAAATGTTCATGCATATCCTGGAGAATGACCTCTATCAAAATTGGGAATGGGAGCTGGAGAAAGGTCTGTGTGTGGTAAGAGGATATACCTAGCAGGTCTGAGGTCTGTGAGGCTTGTGCTCAGTCCCTGCATCCCCCCACAGACCTAAGCGTGATCCCAGGGGCTCTGCAGTCTGGCATCTCCGATGCTCCACAGACTCTGTGCAAGGTGACATGTCATCCCTGGCACTGCATGACCTGATCAGTTTCGTCTTTTAGCTCTAGCACTGAACAGCCACCCAGTTGGCCAAGTATCATTAGGTGTAGCCCCTGGTCCTCCTGACCACCAATTGGGAGCCCACCACCACTACCACCACCACCACCATCACCAAAGAATGCTACAGGCAGTGAGTACATGTGCAAATTACCATAACCATGTGTGTACAATCACAAAAGAAGGAAGGCGAATTAAGAACAAAAACAGGGCCAGAGAGAGAGTTTATCAGGCTGAGCACATGCTTTGTATGTTGGAGGCACAGGCTGAATCCCAACACTGCATGGTGCCCTGCGCACCATCAAGGGCGACCCCTGGGTGTGGCCCAAACATCAAAAACATCTTCAGGGGAGGGAAGGGATAAAAAAAAAATCTGCGGTTGACAAAGCCCCGCAGGGAAGGACGCCTCGCGGCGCGGCGCCCCGGGCCCCTCGCCCCGCCGCCCCGGGACCCCGGCCCGCCACGCCGCCGGTCTCCGCGCCGCGCCCCCGCCGCGGCCCGCACCAGGTAGCGCCGCCCCGAGCGCGTCCGAGGCCGGCCGGGCGCGGGGCGGCGATGAGCGCGGAGCGCGCCCCGCGGGCCCGGCCCTGAGCCCCGCCGAGGTGAGCCGCGCGCGACCCCGGGCCCGGCCCCCGCGCCCACGTGGGCCCCCCACGGCGCGGGCGCCTCTGGGGCCGCCGCGCGCGCGGGAGCCGGACGGCGCCGGCCGAGGGGCGCGGGGGCGGCCGGTCACCGCCGCGAGTCCTTTGTCTGCGGCCCCCGCCCGCTCGCGCCGCCCCACGCCGCGCTGACCCGGCTCCGCATCCCAGGTCCGCGAGCGACATGACGCCGCGCCCCGCGTTGCTGCTGCTGCTGCTGCCAGCGCTGCTGCTCGGGGGGGCCCCGCCGGCCGCCGCTGCCCGAGGCCCCCCGAGGATGTCCGACAAGGTGGTCCCGCGGCAGGTGGCTCGGCTGGGCCGCACCCTGCGGCTGCAGTGCCCAGTGGAGGGGGACCCGCCGCCGCTGACCATGTGGACCAAGGACGGACGCACCATCCACGGTGGTTGGAACCGCTTCCGCGTGCTGCCCCAGGGGCTTCGGGTGAAGGAGGTGGAGCGTGACGACGCTGGCAGCTATGTGTGCAAGGCCACCAATGGCTTCGGCAGCCTCACGGTCAACTATACCCTCGTCGTTCTGGACGATGCCAGCCCAGGAAGGGGGCACTCCAGACACGACAGCCCTTCGGGTGGACAGGAGGATGCAACGAGTGCACAGTGGGCACGGCCTCGCTTCACGCAGCCCTCCAAGATGAGGCGCCGAGTGATCGCGCGACCAGTCGGTAGCTCCGTGCGGCTCAAGTGTGCGGCCAGCGGGCATCCGCGACCCGACATCATGTGGCTGAAGGACGAACAGGCCTTGACCCGTCCAGAAACTAGTGAGCACAGGAGGAAGAAGTGGACCCTGAGCCTTAAGAACCTGCGTCCTGAAGACAGCGGGAAGTACACGTGCAGAGTGTCCAACCGGGCTGGCGCCATCAATGCCACCTACAAGGTGGATGTTATCCAGAGGACGCGCTCCAAGCCTGTCCTCACGGGCACGCACCCCGTGAACACGACAGTCGACTTTGGAGGCACCACATCTTTCCAGTGCAAAGTGCGGAGTGACGTGAAGCCGGTGATTCAGTGGCTGAAGCGTGTGGAGTACGGGGCTGAGGGCCGCTACAACTCCACCATTGACGTGGGCGGCCAGAAGTTTGTGGTGCTGCCCACTGGTGACGTGTGGTCACGGCCTGATGGCTCCTACCTCAACAAGCTGCTTATCGCACGCGCCCGCCAGGACGACGCAGGCATGTACATCTGCCTGGGTGCCAACACCATGGGCTACAGCTTCCGCAGTGCCTTCCTCACTGTGCTGCCAGCAGACCCAAAGCCACCAGGACCCGCTGTGGCCCCCTAACCCTCCATCACTAGCCTGCCATGGCCCGTGGTCATCGGCATCCCTGCTGGCGCCGTCTTCATCCTGGGCACCGTGCTGCTGTGGTTCTACCAGGTAAAGAAGAAGCCCTGCACACCTGCGCCTGTGCACCGCCCACCTGCGGCCCCCCGCACCCGGGCTGGGGACAAGGACCTGCCAGTGCCACCTGCGGGGGGCCTGTGTGAGGAGCTGGCGTCCCCAGTGGCCCCCCAGCACCTCCTAGGCCCGGGCTCACCTACAGGCCCCAAGCTGTACCCCAAACTTTACACAGACGTGCACACACACACACACACGCACTCACATGTGGAGGGGAAGGGGCCGCAGCACCTGCACATCCACTACCAGTGCTAGGGGGTCTTGGGTCTCTCCGCTCCAGGACACACCCAGCTTGGAGGGTGGCCAGCACCCAGGGGCCCTGGGTGAGGCATCCATGTGGGAGGACACACCTCTAGGTACCAGGACACTGCAGGTGTGTGCATAGCAATAGACACCCCAGTATGTACACAGTCACACCAGACTCCTCATATACAGACACCACACCACACAGTCACTCTCAGACACACAGATACTGCCTCACACACAGACATTCCACCACACACTCACACATGACACCCCATCACACACACTCACACATGGACACCCCATCACACACACTCACACATGAACACCCCGTCACACACACTCACACACACTCACACATGGATACTGTCACACACACCACACATGGACACCCCATCACACACACGGACATTGTCATACACCCTCACACGTAGACACCCCATCACACTCACACATGGACCCCCATTACACACAGTCACACATGGATACCCCACCACACACACATGGACACTGTGTCACACGCATAGCCCCTGGCCCAGGTGCCTGGGTGCAGCCCGCGGCACAGATCCGTGTTGAAGGTTTTGCAGTGTGCATGTAGTGGTGCACAACGCCATGAAGGAAGCCCAGGCCTCAGGAGGGTGGGTGTGGGGGCCTCTCACCCCTCCTATAGAAGGCCAGAGAAGCACTCAGTTGAGAAAGTCTGGATCTGCACCCCCATCTTCAATGGGCAGTGCTGTTCCTGCCACCCAACCCAGGAACCCTGGGTGTGCGGTGCGACCTTGAAGCTGGAGGTGGTGAAGGTTGACCCCCACTGCCAGACAGAGGGGCCCTTGATATTTATATGTAAGAAATAAAGATAATAATATTAATGATGGGGGCGCTGGTCCACAGACTGGCCTCCCCAGGACCCCAGACCCTCCTGGCCCTGTGGCCGTGCTGGACATCCGGGGTCCACACCGCTGTAATTTTATAGAGTTTGAGCTGAAGCTTCATTTATTTAATTTATTTTGTTAAACAAGAAGTGCATCCTTTCCCTCCAAAAAAAAAAAAAAATCTGCAAAACACAATGACCCACAGAGAAATATGGGGGAAAAAATTAAGTGTCTAGAAAGGCAAATTTGAGGTATGTAGCGCTCAGCAGTAGAATGCTTGCCTGGCATGTCTGAGGTTCTGGGTACTGTTCCTGCATTGAAGAGAAGAAAAAGATGGGAAACAAACAGCTAGTGTTGGTGAGGATGTGGAGAAGAGTCTCTGGCACACTGTTGGTGGGAATGCAAACCGAAGGTTCAGGAGTTCAATCCCCTATTATCCATGGTGGTGGAAAATGGGCACTGGTGGAGGGATGGATATCTGATCATTGTATAATCGAAACCCAAGCACAAAAAATTGTAAATCTACAACTGTACCTCATGGTGTTTCACTAATAAAAAAAAATCAATTAAAAAAAAAAAAAGAGTTCAATCCCCAGTGCCACTATAAGTGCTGAACACAGTTCTGGCAGCTCTGCTCTTCTTTTTTTTTTGGAGGGGGGGGGGTCACACCCAGCGATGCTCAGGGGTTACTCCTGGCTCTGCACTCAGGAATCACTCCTGGCAGTGCTCGGGGGACCATATGGGATGCTGGGAACCGAACCCGGGTTGGTCGCATGCCAGGCAAATGCCCTACCCACTGTGCTATCGCTCCAGCCCAGCTCTGCTCTTTTTGAGCCCCAGAACCACTAGTGATTTCAGGGGGCATATCAACCAGGTGCATGAGAGCATCGCAACTTAAAGAGACGCAACCCCTTAGGAGCAACCAAAGCAAGAAGTGTGAACCTTGGAAAACACGTGATTGAGTACCACAACTAAAGGAGTTGTGGTGAATTAAGACTGTGTGACCCCCAAAACACAAACCCTGCACCCCACGTCCCTCAGCAAACACCAAATGTGTAAGCCCACAGCCTGGTAGGTGTGTGAGCCCTAGTCTTCTTAATATAATATAGAAGTAGATGAAAAGGCTGGAGGGTAGTTCAGCAGTTAGGGCACATGCCTCGCATGCACCTTACCTGGGTAAAATTTCCAGCACCGCATGGTCCCCAGAGCATCACTAGGTACAGCCCTGGAGCCCCAAGCACCACCGGGTGTGACCCTGGAGACCCTTGAATTACAAGGCATGAGTAATCAGACATCCATGGGCCCTTACATAGAGTCACAGGCCCAGTTGACTGGGAAGTACTTATAAAATAGACCTTTGTAAAGCGTGTGATTCAACAAATGTGAAGTGATAAAGAGTATTTTCTAACTGGCTTGCCAGCTAAATCTAATAAAGATCATAAAGACAGAAAACCGACGGTAAAACCAAAATAACAAAAACCATTTTGTATTCTGTTAACAGGTGATGAAATTAAACCTCAGCATCTCTGAATGAAAAATATAAATTCTAATTACATAAAATGTGGGCACATTACCACTCTAGAAAGAACATCTTTGCAAAACTTTTAAATTATTTTAGTGCTGGGATTCAACTCAAGTTTTTGTATACAAGCACAGTGTTTTTTAAGTAAGTTTGGATGGAAATCCTCAAGGAAAAAACTATTTGTCCCCAAATCCATTTTCTCAGATCTTGTACCTAAATTGAAATTTTTGTGCCAGAAAGAAATTGGAAGATATCTTCAGCTAGTTACTCTGAAAAATTGGATAAATTGTTTTTAAGTCATTAATCATTAATTCAACTTAAAAAGGCAAGGGGTGGCTATTGGGGAAAGAGTATAAAGGGTAAGGCACTTGTCTTGCCTGCAACTACTTCAGCCCACTCGATTCAGTCCCCAACCCTAAATTTGGCTCCCTGAGCACAAAGCCAGAAACAGGAACAACAAAGGGCAAGGGGGGAATCTGTCTTGAGAGACTTTCATTCTTTAATATGAACCTGTTTCTCATTTTCAAATCGGGAGCTTCTATGAAACATTTTCTCTTAGCGGAAAAAAAAAATAAATGGTTGTGACTGCTATAAATAATTTCAGTACCGGGGCCAGAGCAGGTAGGGCATTTATCGTGCACGTGGCTGACCCAGGTTTGGTCCCTGGCATCCCCATGTAGTCCCTAGAGCACCATCAGAAGTAATTCCTGAGTACAGAGCAAGGAGTAACCCTTGAGTATCGCCGGGTGTGACCCAGAAAGCTAAATAAATAATTTTAATAGCAAGGAGAGAGTTCATTCTTCCTCTAGGGAGCTGCTTTCAAAGCTGAAGTGAAGTGTAGCTGGGATCCTCTGACTGGCTCTTGAAGCAGGGCTGACATTCTATAGGCAGTGGCTCCCGTAGATCATTAAACAGAGTCCATTGAGACCAAAATTGTGGTTTACAGGGCAGATCTAGATATTCTGAAATAGAACCTAAAGAACTGTTCAAGTCTTATAAGCAAGTAAAATCAGCTATGAAATTTAGAAAACTAAAAAAGTTTCTTTTCTTTTTTAAAAAAAACATTAGAAAAAAACTGTCTCAATCCCTGTCTCATATGACATGTCTACAAACAAATTAGTAATGAGACTGGAATAAGAGTACAATAATAAGTAGGGGGCTTGCCTTGCACGTGGCAGATCAGTGATTTCAGGGTACACGCAATCCCAGGTTCTGCACGCACCTGGTGACCTGAACCCCGCCAAGTGTGAACACAGAAGGAGAATTAAATCTTGAGCAGAGCTGGGTGTGACCCCAAAACAAAATTAAAAAAATATATATGTAAGGAAAATGAAATAGAAATCTCCAGACTCCTTATAGAGTTTGTACTAGGGTTGAAATACTTAGGGTAGCTCTTATTATTTTTAAGTTTCTAATTTAAAAAATTAAGTTTTTTAGCTACACAGAGCTTGCTTAGGGGACTATATGGGGTACCCTAGGGATGGGACCTGGGTCGGCTATAAGCAACGCAAGCATCATGCCCACTGTACTATGGCTCCGCCCCCTTTAGGCAAGCTTTTAAATGAAAAAGAAACAAAGGCGGGGAAAGCCCTATTTAAATCTTTAACTTTTGTGTTTGGGCCACACCCTGTGGAGTTTAGGGGCAACTCCTAGTTCTGTGCTCAGTGGCCTTTATGCTGTGCCCAGGATTGAACCAGAATCAGCCACATGGCAAGGCAAGTGCCTTAGACTCCATTGTCTTTCTTTTTTTTTGTTATTTAAATTAATTTTTTTTGATTGAATCATAGTGAGATACACAGTTACAAAGTTGTTCATGATTGGGTTTCTGTCATATAGTGTTCCCACACCTGTCCCTTCACCAGTGCACATTTCCCACCATTTCCTACCAATTCCCCAGTTTCCCTCCTGCGCACCCCCACCTTTCTGTCAGGCAGGTGTGCCTCCCTCACTCTGTTCCTCCCGTAGTCTTACCAGGATAGATCCAGGAGGTGTTTCTTGTTCTGGGTGTTCCCCCTCCCCACCCCCCAGTTCTAGGGATGCAACTCAGGGCCTCATATAACATTTGAAGCATGTATTCTGCTGCAGAGCTACATTCCCCGTGTCTCCAGGGGATTCTTTGGCAAGAGCTGGCATGTGCCACCTAGGTAGGTAATGTCTTTTCCTAGGCCAGGGAGATGGCTCCAAGACCTTGAATACAGGCTCCACATGTGAGAAGCTCCGATTCCACGACCCAAACTGCCGTGTGCTCTGGCTTCGCTGGAAGTGACCCCAAACAGAGACCCCGGTATCCGAGGTTGTGGACCCCCCCAAAACAAAAAGCAGCCCCTGGTATCCGAGGTTGTGGACCCCACTAAACAAAAAGCAATAGTCTTTTTTTCTTCCAAGCTCAGTCTCCTCTCACTCACTGCTGAGAAACATTCTTCCTCCTGTCTCCCTCAGTTTACCATGTTCTGACCACTCTGACCTCCTGGGTATTATAGCTGGTCATGGTGCCAGTGAGGGACTTTTCCAGACCACAAGGTCTCCAAATCACCCATCCTTCCTCCCCTTCTTCCTGTTCAACATCGACCCTGCAATGACCTTTTTCGTTAGATACCACCAGGGCTTTGGTTTCCCTTCTCAGGACTGAAGCCCTAAAATCCCTTCTCTGAGGTTCAGTTGCTCTGACCTGCATTTTGCCAACTACATGCCTTTGTATCCACTATTCCACAGTCCCCACTGACTGTCGCAGTGCTGGGAACATCTCTTGCTCAGGAGTCCTCATAACAACAGCCCGCCATCTAGACACACTCATGCCCCTACTTACTCAACTCCCTGAACGAACCCTTAGTGACCTGAGCCAGATCCTAACTTGCCTGGTCTTCCAGGCCCACCTGCGGGATCCCCTTTTCCAGAGGCAACCTCGGGGGCCGGATTAGTCCCCTGCTCCCTTTTCTCATCATCAGGTGACACTGCAGGAATACTGAGGAGGATAACAGCAACA